CTTTCGGCTCAACCGGGCCGACGCCGAAGTAAGTTTGCGGCTTTGCATCTCGTCGGGAGAAGCTGGAGGAGGCCTAACGGGGGAGCGCTACATAATAGGGGCGTGCGGGGACTCTCGAGAGACAGGGGTAGGCGAGAGAGAAAGCTAGGGATGCCAGCCTCCAGGTGGGACCGGGGGATCCCCTGGAATTACAGCTCATCTCCAGACGACAGAAACCGGTTCCCCGGCGAAAATGGATGCTCTGGAAGGTGGACTCTCTGGCATTGTGCCCCACTGAGGTCCCTGTCCTCCCCAGGCGCCATGCCCAAATCTCCAAGAGTTTCTCAGCCTAGATCTGGCAACCCTCCACCCACCCCCCATCCCCTGCTAGTGGCCAGGGGTCCACCGCATCGGTGAGCCTCTTTCTGCAGCAAGGAGCAGGGGAGAATAAGGCCCCCAATTCTGGAACCAAGTCTGGAACAGCCACTGCAGGCATTGGCTGGGATAAGGCTGATTTCCATGCCCTGAAGAGCTTCACCTGCAGATTAAGGGGCTGTTAAAGGTAGCTGGCAAGCTTAAGCAGGGTTGCCAACTTGCCATCAGACCAGGATATAAGCGTCCTGCCCCTTTAACGGCCGCTTCATGTGTGGGAACAGAACGGGCAGCTGAAGGCTTCTATGGCATGGAAGTGAATCATGTCCCATTAAGATTAAGAACCCAAGAAGAGCCCTGGTGGATCAGACCAGTGGTCCATCTAGTCCAGCGTCCTGGACAGCCAACAACAGGGCATGGAGGCTGAGGCCTTCCCCTGATGTTGTCTCCTGGCTCTGGGATTCAGAGGTTGACTGCCTCTGAATGTGGAGGTTCTCCTCAGTTACCATGGCTAGTAGCCATTGATAGATTTATTCGACATGAACCTATCTAATCCCCTTTTAAAACTGTTTATTCCCCTTTTGCAGTTTTTTAAAGGGGCAGAGCGGGTGTTCCCCCCCGTCTGTTGGAAACTCTAATTGTCCACGGTGTTGAGGAATGGAGAGGGGCCATGGCTCAGTGGCTCTCAGTTTCAATCCCTGGCTTCTCTTTTGGTAGCAGGTGATGTGAAAGATCTCAGCCTGAGACCCTGGAGAGCCGCTGCTGGTCTTGAGTATACAAGACTGACCTCGGTGGACCGATGGTCTGATTCAGCATAAGGCACCTACGTGAGTTGCATGTGTTCCATGGATTATACTCATCAGAATCAGGTTTGGAACTTCGGATTGTTCAGGTTTGGAACTTCAGGCTGTTCCTACTTGGGGAGAGTGTACTGTGACATGAAGAGCTTTATATGTGCTCAGGCTGGTGTGCCTGCCGTGGTTCCTCCTGCCTCTGGGTTAGATTACTGCAGTGTATTGTTTGTTGGGCTGCCTTTGAAGGCTGTTCAGGGCTTTTAGCTGGATCGAAATACAGCTACCGGGTCATTTCCTGGGATTTGTCAAATCCCTCATCTCTCACTTAAAAAAAAATGTCATTGGTTTCCATTTTGTTGCTAGGTCAGTTCATGGTGGTGTTAATGGTAGTCAAAGAGCCAACTGCTCCTTTAGGAAGCATTCTGTTCTTTCTGGCCATTGCTAGGGGCTCTGCTGTGGTCTCTCCCAGTGTTCCCTCTAAGCTGAGTTAGTATAAGCCAGCTCACAGTTTTTTAGCCCCTGGCTCACACATTTTTGTCTTCGCTCAGGAAGGAGGGCTCCAGAGCAAACTAATTTATGCAGTATCCAAATCGCTGGCTCACAACTTTAATGCCAGTAGCTCACAAAGTAGAATTTTTGCTCACAAGACTCCAGAGCTTAGAGGGAGCATTGGTCACTACCTGTCTGTCCTGAAGTGGTCACGAACCACCTCCCAAATTCCTCTCCTGAAGGGTTGTTGAGAGGGGATCACATAAAGATTCGAGGGGCCCTGGTCACCCTGAAACCATTAGCGCTAGCAGATCCCAGGAGTTGATTTCATATAATGGGTTAAGTCTGTGATGGACACATGCTCCCATGCATCTGATGAAGTGAGCTCTGACTTACAAACACTGGTGTTCATGTGTGTTATGTGCTGGCCAGTCACTTCCAACTTATGGTGACTCTACGAATGAACGACCTCCAAAAACCTACCATTAACACCCTTGCTCAGGTCTTGCAGACTGAGGGCTGCGGCTTCCTAGCTTGAGTCAACCCATCTCATGTCGGGCCTTCCTCTTTTCCTGCTGCCTTCACCTTTTCCTGCCGTTATTGTCTTTTTTTCCAGTGACTCTCTTATTACTCCAGAACACAAGGCTGAACTCCTTTGTATTCCTTTCTTTCAGTGAAGAAGGTCTCTGCAGCAAGTGAAGACCCTCAGCTTCTGAATAACTTCTGGTTCAGCCTTGAATCTCAGTGACACTTTGTGGTGGGAATCCCGTCTGTTCTGCGGAACCTGCCTTTGGCATCCTTCTCTGAACCAGTGGCTTTTGGTCGCCTCTTCTGATGAGAAGGGAGGCCTGAGCCGAGCAGAGCTACAGTCACCCATTGGTGAGAGAAAATGGCTGCCGAGAGGACAAGAGGGTCTGCAGTCCTGGGTTTCCATCTCCGGGCTCTTCTAGAGCAGGACACAACAGCAGCCATGAAAACAGAGCGGCTGGTGCCGGAGGACCCCAAACCAGAGCTGGAATCGGGGGGGACCAGAGATGACCCTGAAGACCCCCAGCCGGTGACAACCACTCAGGGTCTATCTAGAGCACCACAGCGCATTAAACGGGAAACCGAAGAGGGACCAGTGTCACAGCGCTGGGGATCGCAGAGGAAGATCATTCAGTCCTGCCTGTCGGGCGAGCGAACCCCTCAGCGTCTAGAGACGCCGCCGACAGAAGTTAAACAGAATTTCTCAGCCCTGTTTGAACGAGCGGCGGCCACCAGTCCGTGGCCTGACGACGAGAGGGAAGGTAGGCCCATACCGGGACTGAACAGAACCACCCCCAAGCCCAACCGTGAGCCAGACTTCACAGACCAAAGAGACCTTGACGAAATCAAAGTGATCAAGATCGAAGAACCTGGGAGCCCCGAGCTCCAGCGGCAGCGCTTCAGGCAATTCCGCTACCAGGAAGCCGCCGGCCCGTGGGAGTCCTACTGCCGCCTCCGGGAGCTTTGCCATCAGTGGCTGATGCCGGAGAGCCACACCAAGGAGCAGATC